AACACATAAAAAAGAATATATGTGTGGGGATGGGGGAGATTCAGACCTGCTTGACTGAAATTGGGAAGGTCATTTTGCCAGAAGCTTGAGGGGTTTGGACGGCCGCCTTTATGATCGCCCTCCAACTGCGGCACACACCAGCACATGCCACCACGCTCTTCCTCGACGGCCACTTAGCTTCCGACTCCTCCATCCTAATCAACACCTCTCTCCAAAGCTCTACAGGCAGGTTAGCCCAGCAGCTCTGTCTCAACCCTTCACCGCTAAGTTGACTCCCACCAGGCGGCTCCTCTCCAACCGCCACCACCGAGCGATGGCGGCTCCTTGCCCTGGACCCCAAAGCCCACTTCATCGCCCCAGGTCTTCTCACCCACTACCACCAATCTGATGTCTATGCAACTCTTTATAATTTCCAAACAAAATAAATAATGTCCAGGAAAGTAATTCTTAAACTTCAAGTCAGATCTGAAACAAGAATCTACAGAACTAGATAAAGATCACAATTTCACGCACGTCTTGTTCTGTAAAGCATAGATTTACAGAACTCATATATAGGTCAAAATACAAAGGAATCTACCTCGTATGTTATTTGAGTGGTTGTATTCTGCTTGGACTGATTTTAAGTTTAAGCATACGCCGTATTTTTCAATCTTTTTAGATAGAATTCCAAAACAACTTTCACTCAAATCCGCTAGCATTCATGTTTTATACGGAGTAAAATCAGTAAATAATTTGTTAGATCATTTTCTTGAATGAAGTGCTAAAAAATGTACATACTTATATTTTATATATATAGATAAGTAGAGGAATGGTTCTGTCCAGCAGACCCCGGTCCGAACAGTGTCCGAACATGGTCATTTGGGGCACTTCCCGGTGGAATTTTTTGATGAATTTTTTTGAGCATGTTCCTCATCAAGTCTAGTTTGTCCATACCAAATTTCAGTTCAAAATTCGATCGGAAACGCATTCAAATCATTTTTTAAAGTTGACTGCGTCAAAATGTACATATAAAAACGTAGTATTTTCACATGTCTTTGCACATATTTTGTGTGGGAACAAGTATTCACAAACAAAACAAATAGTGTTTTCTAGTGTGGTTAATAAGGAGAGTTGTAAAAATATTGGAGGGTGAAAAAAAAGTCATAGCATGTAGCATTTTCTAAGTGTTGCTAAAAATGGAGTGTTTAAAAAAACTATAGCGTCTAGCATGTTCAAGTTCTCATATTATTTGGAACTAGAATTTTCATCCTTGCGTTGCCTGAGATCCAATTTGTAGGTATTGAATTATTTCAAAAGATGTGTGAGTTTCACTATAGGATGAAAGTCATTAGACTTCATTGAACTTCTCTCTGACCAATGATTCAATCCTGTGTAATTTCTTCACTCAAAGAGATGAGTACATTCATGAAATTTGACCCATTTACCTAATTTGAATAAAGTCTGCCTATCCTGTAAAATTGTTTACCATTTATTTGGAATATAGTTTAGTATTTCACCCGTGTATAAGTGTATTGTACAAATGTAATATGCAAATATTATACTATCATAAATGTTAATACATAAACGTATATATAGACGCGTACATAAATTTATATCATTATTGTTTACCCAAATGAGAGAAATTATATAAAAAAAATTAGAACTTTAATAACAACAAACTTTATAAATTGTTGAAGACCTCATTTAAGAATATTTTTTTGGATTATTTCTCCAACTTCTTTCATCACCATCACCGCACATAAAAAATTATTTCTCCAACTACATCTTTCACTTTCACTTGGTTCTTGAGAAGTTGCATCAGTTTCATATTGCTTCAATAAATCTATACAAGAAGGATCATAATCACTAACTATGTGCAAATACTTGACAGCTTCAGCTTTCCGGCCCACAATGTACAAAACACTTGAGAATAATACTAACGCGTCGTAGTAATGTGATTTTGTCCTTGAATGCTCTGGCTCCTTCATCAGAACTACTTTCTCGAGGTGTGCAATACCCTCTTCATACTTCCCCTGCCGTATACAAGTCACACATGCCCATTGAGATGATAGGATCAAATGATCGACATCCTCAACTTCTTCTGCGGGGTGCCTATTTATGAGCAGCTCAGAAATACAACTCTTCAAGATTTCAGCGGCTTCTGATGAGAAACCATTTTGCAATTGTCCATGCATCAAAGCTCTCGCATAATTAGTATCCTCGACAAGAGCAAGTCACATCAGTTGAAGAGATACATCCCTTTTACCTTCAGTGAAGAGTGAGGTTGCAATATTAACAAGCTCTTTCAACCAAAGATTTTGAGCAGGTATCTCCTGTGGATAATCTACATTGCGCATGCAAAATGTGCATTGTAAAACCAGATGAGCCAAATACGAATCCTTTAGATACAAAATAAGTTTTATTATATTCAACTGGGCATTTCATATAATGAAGATGAAAAAAAATATAAACGCAAAGAAATAAGCATTAACCTCCATATGCCAAATGAACATAACAAAAAAACATGGACACTAAGCAATAATCATTCTCTATATGCAAAAGAAGCTGTTATTGAAAAAATGACAAAAGATCAAATTGGGCCTTCAAAAAACATTTGGATCTTCATTGATTAGGGCGTCAGTAATCCTAATTAATGCACTCGAATATCATTATAAATCTATAATGATTTAATATATATTAATATTAGTATTAATATGTATAATTCTGTTATCCACCTAAAGAACACATAATTAATGTATAAAATATGGCGATTTTTTCCTAATTGTTTTATACAATTCATGTGCATGTATTATCACACTCTTAATATATGTAGTATTAATTAATACCTCCTTCAATCAACTAATGTAATATTGAAAATTAAAGTATACCAAAATCATTGTTAAAAAAGATCACATATGCCAGTATTGAATATATTAAATATTGAATACATAGTATGTGTTGAGTGTATTGAAATATTGTACTTTATTACTTAATATGCACATTAGATATTTTAAATAATATGATTTGTAATACTTAATTTGGTGATTGTGAATAGAATTATCAAAAAACAAACTTTTCTTTTTTGGACAGAGAGTATATTTTAGTGTATTAATATGAAGAGGCAAATTATTTTTTAATGATGTATTTTTATTAATCAATAATTAATTGGTGGGGATTAATAGCAAAATGAGAGTTGTAAATATAATTACCCTTAGGGCGTGTGTCATTGGGTTGGGTGCCCTTGGTGTGGCCCGTCCCTGATGCCACCTTTTAGTTAACTGGTCGAATGAAACTAAAGAGCAGGGAAAAGAAATTTAATGGTTCATACAAGGTCATCTTTTAGAAGGGACTTAGTATCGAGACCCACATTTATGTGGGGCCTCCAAAATTTAATATTTAGTACTCTCTCCATCTCAAATTGAGTTATAAACTGGATTTTTTTAGGTTAAAGAGATTCATCTTATTTACTTAATTAGAATATCAATTCATAGGAGGTGTTTGGAACTAATTCTGGTTCTGCTTGTGTTTCTTTTTTAAAGCAGAAGCAGAATCGGTTTTCAGAAGCTGATCTCCCTAAACTTCTAAAAAAACTGATTCTTGGAGTAAATTAGAACATCATAATCACTTTTGCACTTTCACCCAAACACTCCAACTTCTGCTCTCTGAAGGAGCAGAAGCGTTTTAAGAATCAGATCCAAAGACCCCCATATTTAAATTGTAATTTAGATTTAACAATTTTTAGAGATCTTAATGTTGATTCTGAAGGAGAAGGAATTCAAATGGGACAACTAGCTTAAAAAGAGCACTTCTTCGAATATACATTAAGATCTCTAAAAAAGCGCTTTTTAAGCCAAGAATCCAAATGATTAGAGCATCTCCAATGCTCCTCTTTTGACATGATAAAAATTTTACATGTAATCAATTTTCAAAAGAGTGATAGTAATTTGTCTCCAATAGATTCTTTTATGAGTTCTTTTATGCTGATATGGAAGCAACACTTTCGACCCTTCTGTGAGAATTCCGAAAGCATGTTTAACCGCATGACTTGGCCAAAATGGATAGCAATACGCATCGCATAGCTTAAAATCCCGATATAATAGCCTACGGTTATTGAAAAAGGTTGATAAATGCCTAGTGGGAATTAATAACTGCCCATGTTTATACTTTTTATGTTCCGTATAATTTTATGCATTGGAGAACCTTTATTTATTTCTTTGAATGTGTAGTTTACGTGGATAGACATTATTTTGTATAATTGACATTTGGCAAAATTTTGATTATGTCAAAAGAAGTGCATTGGTGATGCTCTTAGAGTGGGTAAAGAAGTCAGAGGTGATATTTAAGTTTTGTTCTTGTTATCCTTTCCAAAATACAAAATTGCTATTGGTACCCCAAATCCTACCCCATTTTGTACCCCTCCCTAGTTTTGTGGTTAAAAAAAAGCAATGAATTAAGTGGGGCAATTAGTTTGTGGGGTTGGGGTTTTGTGAGCCACTCATATAGTGAGGTACAAATGGGGTACCCCATTTTGGGGTACCTATAGCATTTCTCTCCAAAATATTAGGCAAGCACTCATACTAGGGGTGGATTCGGGTCGGGTCTGGGTCGGGCCTAGACCCGGGCGGGCCGCCGGTTCTGAATAGGTGGGCCCGGGTAGCCACCGGGTCCGGTCCGGGTCAAGGCCAGGCCTCGGGTCAATTTTTTCCCCTTTTCCTAATTAACCCCCCCCCCCCCCCCACCCCCCAAACCACCCCAAAATACCCAGCCCAACCCCAAAAGTTAAAAAAAATGAAAAAATAAAAAATAAAAAGCCCGGAACCGGGCCCGAACTGGCCGGGCCGGTTCGGCTTTTGGGTGACCCGAGCCCGCACCGGGAACCCCCCGGACCGGTCACTGGCCGGGCCGGTTCAGCACAGTACCGGTCCCGGGCCACCCGGCCCGAGTCCAGGACTAACTCATACTTTCTTCCTGTAGCCCGGGCCAGAAAGTAATGATTGTAATATTAAACACGGAGTATATTGATTCGATATTATGTTCTGAATTCTGGACAGAGTTTATATTTATCATCTGAAAAATCTAAGAAACATGCCACAAGATGCATCAATCTCACAAATATGGAGCCTATTTCTATGATTGCATCATGTGCAACCACCTCATCAGATTGGCTGCTTCTGCTTCTACACCAATAACTTAAAGAAACGGGTTTAACATCTAACCCAAAAAGAAAAAGTCATGGAACTTGATTTTACTATCCTCCGAAAAGGGTGAGAATTTACCATCTATACCAGTAAGGAAATGGAAGGACCATTAGTTTTACCAGCCACAAATGAAAGACCCTTATTGTTGTTGATGTTGTTGTTGTTACAATTATTATTATTTAACGTAATTTTAGTTCTGGTGATGAACTTCTTCATTCCTTTATAAAGGAGACAGCAGTAGAGATCAAATCATCTTGGTGTGCCATGAAATCATGGCTGGCTCCTTCTATTATGTGCAATTTGTGGTTTTGAATGACCTTATCCAACTCAAAAGCATCTTCCACAGGAATGATGTCGTCATTCGACCCGTGTATAGTAAACACCCTGCAGGACGCACACGTTTACAACATTTAAATCCAATGGTTCGGGATTAATAGGAGGGGTGTTGATTTTGTAAGGCTCCGTATCTTTCCAGGGGGAAGATAATGAAAGCATATTGCTGTGTTCATAGAAAATAATTTGTTATATGTATCTACAAAAATAGAAACAAAAGAACTTCTTAAGGATCCCCATTTTCAAAAGAGGAATTTCATAAAATAGGAGTAAAACAAGCCATTTCAGCCCCATTTCAGTCACAATTACAGCAACAAACAAAAAGAGATACCCTTGCCAGACAGGTGGAATGTTGAACACAGGTGAGAAAATGAAAAAAAGGGAAAACTCCCTATACTTTAGCCAAAGCTATCTGGTTCTCACCTGCAGCCTTTGTCAATCTGGAGACAAGCTTTGTGCAGGTCAGTGTTAAGTCGGTCCATTAAACTTTCCTCAGTAACACGATATTGCACTTCTCCTGTGAATGAAACAGTAATTCTGTTGGGATGCAATTGTGAATCAATCAAATAAGACTATATCCCTCAGCTCAGCCTTTTTATTTTATTTTTTAAATTACCCGCTTTGTTTTTCACATCTAGAAACCCCTCTTTCTTGATTCTGTCCAGGTAATCTTCACCCAAACGCTCCGCAATGCCCTTCCTCAGGTCATAGCGGCCAGAAACATTGATCACCTTCTCAACATCATGATACCTGGATGCATACAGAATAACAACACTGCCTCCTGCAATACCTTTCTTCTTCAATCAGTGTATGTAGAGACATGTGTGCGTAAGTATATGCACACATATATCAATAATAAATACACACCCAACTCTCAATGCAATCAAACTAACAACTTATGCTCCTTACGGAATTGGCCAATTCCTTGTGCGTTGAAATGAAATCATGTACAGATCAATCGATGTCATAACATACATTTCAAATATATTTGCAAAAAAACATACATTTCAAATATATATTGCATTGCTCACAAGTTCTTTTCTTCTAGTCATCTTAACAAGTGTCTGCCCCCTTTGCTAGTTTGATTTTTCCCTTGCATCCATCCAGCCAACCTTATTAGCTAAATTTTATACCAAAAGCTAACTTAATTTATTTGCTGGTATTAAAAAACCAAAAGTAGTTGCTCTTTTTTTTCTTTTTCCCAAAATGCTCAAACTAAAGTATTGATATCACAACATTGACCCAAACATTTTTAGACATTACTTTCACTAGTTTTGTTTATTTTCAAATAGTTAGGTCATTGAGTTCATTCAGCCAACTCAGCCGCAATGTGGGCAAATTCGGCTCCATTCACTCATTTTAACCCAGTTCCTAACATATACTTGTCAAATATATTATCAAAAGGCGACTGATTGTTGATACCACAAACATAAGTAAGCAATATTTGGACATGTAAGGGGAACTTCGTTATTCGTGATACCACTGTCATATATTATCTACAGTGGGCATATACGATCTGAATGGATAGTAAAAACAGAAGAAGAAAGCTGATTTGCATACCTTTACTGTGACCAAGAATGGCAACTACCCTGCGTTTCTCCCCAATAAAGTGTTCAACCACAGAATGCAAATCATCAGCCTCTTTCTGATAGTGACCATAATGAAATTCCCCTTCACTTTCCCTACGAGGAAAATGTTCGCATCCAGATCAACCATGCAAATAATTTTATTAACATTATATAGAGAGAGGTCTAGGAAAATGCAGGAATGAAGGGAAAAGGAAAAAGGAATAACATTTAAGTGCACCACAAAAGGATTGAAGATATAATCACATTTGATCTTACCCGTTTCCAGAAAAGTCAAAGCGAAATGCAGAAATTCCTTCCTTCTCCAAGGCAGCAGCAATATTTTTCATAAAGCTCTACACATGAAAGCGTGTAGCGAAGGTGAGAAAGTTGCATAGTCAGCAAACTAATCTAGCAAATGATATGAAATGTTCCATTCATTGAAGAATGAAGAATTTCATCAACCAATTCCCTGCTAGAGATTTTTGCTATTCAAAACAAAAGTGAGTTTTTTTAAAACACAAGTCATTAGTCATATATATATATATATATAATTACACAATTAAATACATACACACATACATACGTACAAACATATATATATATATATATATATATATATATATATATTCATATAGAATAAAGATCCAACGAGAACCAAGCTTAACGTGAGAACGTGAGAACACCACATTTACCCCAACGTGTTGCACAATGAAGCTTGTATATTGCACATTTTCACATTTTCACTATATTTACCAAAATGCCATCATGTTTATTTAATATAGGCTAAACTCGAGCAAATTGAAAATGTGCAACAGAATAGCTCCATTGTGCACCATATTGATTTAAATGTGAGTGTTCTCACGTTCTCACGTTAAGCATCGTTCTCACTGGAACCGCACCCTATTCATATATATATATATATATATATATATATATATATATATATATGTATATGTATGTGTGTGCGTGTGTATATAAATCACTATGGATGATTACTATGCAAAGGATGGATGAAAAAAGAAGATAAAAATAAAGTGAGTGGTAGCTCTATGGAAGGAATAGAGACCTTGGATGATCGAAAGCCATGACACAAAACTGCAATATCTGGAGATCCAGTATCGTGCAGCAAACCCACAAGCTTCTCAGCATGCCTGTTTCGTATGCTGACTTTCTTTACCAGCATATCACCTGAATGTTATACAACATCACACAAATCTGTCAACTGCATTCCGCTGTAAGCCGCCAGGAAATTGCCTGCCACTTATCATATCGTAGAACTCTCTCTCTCCTCCAAGGAAAGAGAGAGTTCTATGTGATTGCATACTATGAAGCACGGATACTTCCCTAGGGTAGTGTATCGGCGTATCCGATACGTTCCCGTATCCGATACTCTAGGATACTTAATAAAATTCCAAAAAAAATGAAAATCTAAAACTACATTTTACTTGGTAATCAAATAATGGGCCTATATGGCTATATCCGAATTAAGTCATTAACTCATACTCCGAATTGGGTACTTGCACTTTTAATTTCAAGATTGTAGTTGTTTGACTTATTTCTCATTTTAAATTAATGACTTATTGACTACATTTATATTTCGAGATACACTAGTGTATATGAGAAATATTATGAATTTATTACTAAGTATCTTGAAAAAGGAAAATGTTTCAATGCAATGAATGGGTAGACATCATAGGATATTATATGTATGTATGTGTGTGTGTGTATATATATATATATATATATATTCAAAAAAATCTATTTTTAATATTTATAAATAGACCCCTATAACTTTTAATATTTGTAAATACACCCCCATAACTTTTAATATTTATAAATATGGCCCCGTATCCGTATCCTACCTTTTTTGGTTTTGACGTATCTCCGTACCCGTTTCCGCGTTTCCGCGTACCGGTATCGGTGCTACATAGATTGCATATCAGTTGAGGAGTTATACTCAAATAGTCTGTCACGGGGGAATGAAAATTCATTGAAAATGTTAAGTTGTAAATAATCAATCAAGAATGAAAGGTGTTGCAGAACACAAAATGCTTCTAATGGCCAGATAATGGTCGTTTTTTAGGGGGTTTAATAAGTTATCCAGAACAAGACGCCCAAATTTATGGGGCCCCAAATTTATGGGGCCCCAAATTTTTAAAAATTTATTAATATTATATATTAATACTAATCAATAAAATATAGTTATCTAGTAAGGAAGAAAAATATAGATCCATCATTTTTTGTTGGTATTTTTACTCTTTCACTTTTCTTGTAATCCGTATTCAATTCAATTGATTTGAGTAAAAGTATTGGGATTGAATTTTTTTTAATTTTTTTATAATAATGTGGGGCCCGTTTTTACATTTTGAACTGGGCCTCCAAATTCATTAGACTGCCCAGACAAAGACTATATGGAGATGACAGAAGGTTTTAGTACATTCTGTCTAATCACTCATTCCTTAAGAAAAACATATTATCTCTAAAGCCCCAAAGGTATTGGATAAGCAAAGGTATCATTCCAACTTTCAAGTAAGCATCACTCTTCCAACTACTCTCATATGCCCCCATTCATTACCCCAAAGGTTACCTAACTTACCTTGATTCTATTGTTTACAAACGACCTTGCCAAAACATACCAGCAGAAATGGAAAACTTAAATCGTATATATCACTAATCAATAATCCTCTTTTCCTTTCAATGTCATTCCTAAGGTTTTAGCAGGCCAAGCCGTGCACAGAAGTAACACAATAGTATATTCCTAATACATCACGTGAAAGAGCGACCCCAGGAAAATTTTCTCACCTGGTTGGCTTTGAGACATCTTCGACAATGCTTCTATTTCGAGGTTGTGGCTGACTGGCCTGGAGCGCCGAAGTCCTTTTAAGAAGATGAATGGATTTTCCTTATGCCCCACCTTGTTAAAGGAAAATAATGGGTGAAATTGAACACAGGGATATGTATCCATACACTAGTAACAGATGCGATTTGTATACGAAATCTTACAATTCGATGGCAAATTCACTTTTACATCTTTTTCTTTAATTTATCCCTTTCACCCGACCCCTTTGTCTCTCTTTCTTTGTCAACAGGACCCGACAAATTATCATGGGCTAAAGGGTCAAATAGGTACATGAACTAACCCAAAGTGTTCAATTAACCCCTTATATAGGAGTTTCTGCCTGGACGTCGCCAATTGGGGCGGTTCCCGGTGGAATTTTTTGATGAATTTTTTTGAGCATCTTCTTCATTAAGTCTAGTTTACCCATACCAAATTTCAGCTAAAAATTCAACCGGGAAGGCAGTCGAATGATTTTCCAAAAAATTAAACAGCGCAGTACATTTCGGAAAATCATTCGACTGCCTTCCCGGTTGAATTTCTAGCTGAAATTTGGCATGGGTAAACTAGACTTAATGAAGAAGATTTTCAAAAAAAATTCATCAAAGAATTCCACCGGGAACCGCCCCAATTGGCGACGTCCGGGCAGAAACTCATATATAAGGGGCTAATTGAACACTTTAAGTCAGTTCATGTACCTATTTGACCCTTTAGCCAATTATCATGAGTTTCCACCTTTTTATTAGAAGTTGACAAGAGGCATCTCACATCTTCTTGGAAAGAGGTCTTTAACATATGATTGAAAATTATTTGGAGATAGTTAGGAAGCTTTCTAGCCATGTGAATGGAAGCTTGGATGCAACTTTCCTCCAAACTAGTCCTATAAATAGAGTGCTCCATATTGTTCATTAGTATCAGTTTTAGAAAGTGAGAAAAGTGTGTGAAGAGTGAAATACACTTAGAGTAGAAGTGTATTGGTGATGATTGGTTTTTTGTAATAGTTGAGTGTGAGAGTTTGTTCCTCCTATTGTAATTCTGTTCTTGATATTGAATAGAAGAATTTTCCAATCCCAACAAGTGGTATCAGAGCGAGGTTGAGTTTCCATATACTATTTTCTCATTTTTGTATAAATTTCTACAGGTTAGAAAATTGTGATTTTTCAAGCTGATCGGAATCACGATCTGATCATACCGTTAGATTCGTCTCGTCGAGAGGAGAAATCTGGTATTTTTAAGGATTTTTTTGGCCACCGGAAGAGGTCGTACGCGCCGCCCAAAATCCGCCTAGAACTGCCTGCGTCATCACACGCAGTCCAGAGGAAGAAGACGACCAGTCAGCGCCACGCCAGCGTTGCGTCAGTCCACGTCATCGCCACGTCATGCTGAATCATCATCCACGTCATCCACGTATTCGTCCTCCTGCCGCCACGTTAGCGCCAACGCAGTTCCAGCTGTTGCCACGTCATCCGCCTGCTGGACTGCTGCCTGAACCAGACCGAACCAGTTCATAGTTGTGGAGGCCGGTTCACCCATTGCCAGACCGGTTTTGGACGAGGTCAGACCGGTTCCTACCATTTTCGGCCATTCGGCTTCGAAAATAAGGTACAAGATATATTGAGCGTTTTATTATGGATAAATCATCATCGGACACCATGATTGCGCTCACTTACACAAATTACAATATGTGGAAGCCTCGGATGGAGGATTTGCTAAATTGGAGGGATTTAGCCGATACTCTTGATAATAATGGCGTGAAACCGGATAAAAAGACGGATGAAGAATGGACAAAAATGAATCGAAAACTGTCGCACAAATTCGATAATGGATAGATCATAGTGTGTTCCACCATGTGGCTCAAGAACAAAGTGCTTACACACTATGGGAGAAGCTTGGTAGCATGTATTAAGCAAAAAACCGCCCGAAATAAGACGTTACTAATGAGGAGATTAGTAAACCACAAATTACGAGGAGGTATTTCGGTGTCAGAACACACCAGTCAATTCCAGGATCTTGTGAATCAGTTGAGCACAACCGGATGGGTTCTCAAAGATGAAGAACAGGTGATACTACTCTTGAGCTCTCTACCTGACAGCTGGGAGACTCTTGTTGTCACTCTCAGCAATTCTGCTCCCAATGGCAAGGTGACTATGCAGATGGTCACAGATGCCCTTATGAACGAAGAAGCCCGAAGAAAAGAAACCGGGATTGAACAATCATATGCCTTCGTGTCAGAAACCAGTAGATGAGGGGGAGGCAGAAATGGAGGAAGAAGTTGAGGTCGAGGTAGAGGCCAAGGTCAAAACAGAGGAAATTCTCAAGTTCGCGGCAGATCACAAGAGAGAGGTATGTCCTTTGAAAACAATACTTGGTTTGAAGGATATTGTAATTACTGTAGTAATTATGGGCATAGAAAAAGAGATTGTAGAAAGTTTCTATGAGAGCACCCACAGACGAGTCAAAATACTAGCCAAGAAGATGGTGTGACTATGGTTAGTTTGTCATCAGACGTGTGTCTTGTTACACATGGTGAACAAGAATGTTTACATGTAGGTACTCATGATGTTGAGTGGGTGATTGATACAGCTTCATCTTTTCATGCCACTCCACACCAGAACTTATTCACATCTTATAAGTTCGGAGACTTTGGAGCTGTGAAGATGGGAAACACGAGTTTCTCAAAGATTGTTGGCATTGGTGATGTGCACATAACAACCAATGTCGGATGCACACTTGTGTTGAAAGATGTTCGACACGTTCCAGATCTTAGATTGAATCCTAACTCCGGTACAACTCTGGATCAACAAGGATATCTTAACCGATTCAAAGAAGGTACGTGGAAGTTATCTAAAGGTTCCTTGGTTGTTGCAAGAGGCCATATTTGTGGCACTCTTCATAAAACTCATGTGAAGTTGTATCATCCAAGTCTCAATGCTGTTGAAGAAGAGATATCACCAAACTTGTGGCACCGGAGATTAGGCCACTTGAGCGTGAAAGGATTGACAACTCTTGCAAAGAAGGAAAACATTTCCATGGGCAAAGGTGTTGCCCTAGATCCATGTGAGCATTGTCTATTTGGGAAACAACACAGGGTTTCCTAAACAGAATTACTCAGTCTTGTCCACTCTGATGTATGTGGACCCATTGAAGAGGAGTCACTTGGAGGAAGCAAATATTTTGTGACATTCATTGATGATGCATCACGAAATGTATGGGCTTACTGTTTAAAGAGTAAGGATCAAGTGTTTGATCGTTTCAAACTATTTCATGTCATGGGAGAAAGAGAAACAGGGAAGAAGCTGAAATGTCTACGTTCAGACAATGGAGGAGAGTACACTTCCCGGGAATTCTCAGCATATTGCGCCGCATATGGAATCAGACATGAGAAGATGGTTCCATGAACTCCGCAACACAATGGTGTAACCGAAAGAATGAATCAGACCATTACGGAGAAAGTTTGTTGCATGCTGAGTATGACTAAACTACCTAAGCCATTCTGGGGTGAAGCTGTGCTGACAGCTTGTTATCTTATAAACAGGTCACCTTCTGTTCCTTTAAACTTTGAAATGCCAGAGAAGAAATGTTTAGGAAGAGATGTTTCTTACTCTCACTTGAAAGTGTTTGGGTGCAAGGCATTTGCACATGTGTCCAAGGAGTTGAGACAGAAGCTGGATCTCAAGTCAAACCCATGCATCTTCATCAGCTACGGAGATGAAGAATTTGGATACCGGTTGTGGGATCCCGAAGTGAAGAAAGTTGTACGAAGAAGAGATGTTGTATTTCATGAAAACGAGTTTCATGAGTGTGCTCCAATAATCCGCCAACAACATACTCCAGAAGACGAAGTGTCTGTATCTAGTGGCGTATCCAGGATTTTTCGTCAGTGGGGGCGAATTTACATTAGCTATCTCGCACATATCATAAACAATGACCACATTAATAAAAAATAGTGTAAAATCAATTTAAAATAAAAAAAACATTCATAGGACAAAACGTCTTACGATATCATACTTAAAAATTGCACGCCAGATAAATTTTTACTTGGATAAATTTTTATTTGGATAAATTCAAATATATGCTAGTAATAATAATCAAATAAGAAATGAATCTAATATTTATTTAGAATTAACTTAAGTTGTGAATGCACAAGATATGTAAAAACTCAATGTGTATTAAATGTAATCGTTAAACTTCACAAATCATATGCGAAAATTCAATTGTAATTATATTGAAGTAGCTCAATTGTTCAAACTCTAAAGTAGCTTTAAATTAGTCTAGTGCAAAAAAATGCAAAAGTAAAACAAAATGACAAAAGACTAAGGGTTTGAGAAAGCGTCCCCTCTGTTTCAGGAAGAAAAAAAAAGACTAAGGGTGATAATTGACTTGGCAACTTAGAAATGCATAAATAACATAACGTGGAAAAAAAGTTGCAGGGGAGGCTCGAACCCACACCAACTTGGAAAATCCTGAAATACAGAGCACCAACTCCGTTCGACCATCGCTGCTTATTGTTCATACACATAACACATGTTTATATTATATATGTTACTTATATTTAACATCTAACTACACAAATAATTTAATATTTAATATATATATATATAGGGGTTGGGTGGGGGTTGAGTGGGGGCAGCTGCCCCCTGCCCCCACGCTGGATCCGCCACTGTCTGTATCATCAAACATTCCTCTCAGCGACGAGGAGATGCATGATTCTACTGAACAAGAGAATGATGGTTCAGTAGGTGATGATTATGCTCACAGTGATGATATTTCTCAGCAGGGGGAGCCTTCATCTAAAGACGAAGCTGAAGGTATTCATGTTCGACGTTCTATGCGAGGCATAGTTCCACAGAGAAAGTATTCCACATCCGAATGGATACTTGTCAGCGAGGGGGAGCCAGCGGAGCATCGTAGGAATGATAGAAACAAAAAAGAGGTGGAGGGGGAGATTTGTAGGGAGTTTCCACCTTTCTTGGAAGTTGCCAAGGGGCATCTCACACCTTCTTGGAAGGAGGTCCCCAACATATGAACATGGAAGAAGATTATTTGGAGATAGCTAGGAAGCTCCCTAGCCATGGGGATGGAAGCTTGGATGCAACCTCCTCTTGTCTCCAAACTAGTTCTATAAATAGAGTGCTCCATGTTGTTCATTAGTATCAGTTTTAGAAAGTGAGAAAAATGTGTGAAGAGTGAAATACACTTAGAGTAGAAGTGTATTGGTGAGGATTTTTTTTTTGTAATAGTTGAGTGCGAGAGTTTGTTCCT